ATCATGGAGCTAACTCTGCACTTGTCCTTTGTAACACTTATAAATATATAAAGCTGCAATTCACATAATTATTTCTAATGGCTCTCCCTCTCACTATGTACATGGTAAAGAGACCATGAATATTTATAAAAATGCTGTAAAACAACATTTTAGCATACAGTCAGCACTCACAAATTTTTGTTGATTACTAAAAAAAAAAAAAGTACAGAATCTAATCTACTTCAGGAGTTCAACTGTCACTTTTATATCTCGGGCCCCAATCATGCTTCTGAAATATATATGGGCAGCTCAGCTACAACATGTTTTTCTTCAATACCAATTAGCTTACAGACGATTGATAAATAAGGCAATGGTATCAATTTGATGTATTAATTGGACTGATTTGTATGTGGAGCGGAAATTGTGGAATTGCAACCTTTACCAAAAAATAAAAACAAAAAACAACAAAAACCCTTAGCTTGGCTGCTCACCAGCAGGAGTCCTTACAGACTCCTTTAGTTGATTTAGATCAACTAAAAATAAGTGTCTGCGTCTCGGATTCCCCCTCAAAAAGCATAAACATACCCCCACCCTCATGGAGCTCTCCGCTGGTATATTTCCTTCAGAGTCTCACCTAGCAGCTGACTCACTCACTCACAGCTCCACCTTAACTGCCTCGTCTCAGTGACCCCCACAAGGCAGCATGTGTCAACTGTGTACTGTATATTGTTTAATATCCTTTGCAATAGCACCCAACCACGCTAAGCCACATACCTGATCTATCCAGGTCATCTTCTAAGGGACTGATTATTGTTCTTCAGAGCGTTCTGGTTCCAAAACTGTTTAGGTTTTGCACAGTGTACTCCCAAGCCCTATTTCCCCATGGCCTTAGCATGAAATCTGCAGAACATGAGGCCATTCAAGAACACAAATGTTACAGCAGATTTCCTCACAGTTCCAAGCGCTGAGGAACATAACTCCTGACTACTTCCTCAATCAGCTTGAACACTCAAAATCTGGGCTCCTCATCTCTGTTAACAGTCCAGAACCGAATCATTAAAGTTGCTGATCTCTCTCTCTCCCTCTCCCCCCACATTCAATCATTCCACACAGGTATCAATTTTCCTTATGCATGGTCTCTCACATCTTTTTCACCACCATCCATCATAACTGAAAGCTCCAGCATCTCTCATCTGAAAAAAATTTAACAATTAATAGCCTTCAAGGTAATTATACCTCTTTCCAGGCCCTCCTTATTCCAAACCAGACTCCACTAAACCGCAAGAACTATCTTCCCCCAAATGCAAATCTAATTGTGCTAGTCCTCTACCCAAAAACCTTCAACTGCCTTCCACTGTGCGTTAAGTCTCAAACCGCTGCTCCACTTTATTTTTCATTAAGCCTTCCACTCATCTTAAAATCCAGTAGAGATAAACCATACAAACTGTTGACAAAGAAACTCAGTAAATATTAGCTTTTACTCTCACAGATGACCTACTTTTATAGTCAATTCTAAGAATGTCATCTCCCTACCCTTTATTTTAAGCAGCTTACATTCCTTCTCTTTATATTATTAGAGACAAAGGTCAAATCTTGGTTGTGTCACTTACTAGCTGTGACCTTGAGCAAGTTATTTAGCTTTCTGAGCCTCAGTAAAATTAGGATAATATCCATGTCATGGGGTTGTTGAAAAGACTAAATGACATAGCATATGTAGGATGCCTGGAAGAGAAGAGACATTAATAAATGTTAGTTTTCTTAAAAAGTGTTCACTTAAAGAATGAACACAGAAATGAACTTGCCTTCTTTCTCCCAGAACTGGCAAGTAAAGAGTAGCACTCAAAGAAACTGGCTTAACAATAGAATACTATTAATAATCTCTATCCCTTGAGGTAAGTGCTTATGCCAAAAGCTTAAGATTTAGGAGAATTTTTTTCTATGCTACTAAGCAAAGAAAAGGTTATTGACATGGAACCATATTTTACTAGATGATTTAACCTGACTAATGTTATTAAATTTACTGAGACTCAATATATTAATAAGCCTTATCCATATGCAGAACTAGAAGTTAGTTCCAGTATTTAACTATTTACAAATATGTATGTGTGTGTTAGTTGCTTAGTTGTGTCCAAACTCTTTGTGACCCCATGGACTGTAGATTGCGAGGCTCCTCTGTCCTTGGGATTCTCCAAGCAAGAATACTGGAGTGGAAACTGAGAGCTTCAATACTTATGCATAATACAGTCCATAAAAAAATGGGTCTATGACTGATTAATGTTGATGTATGGCAGAAACCAACACAACACTGTAAAGTAATTATCCTTCAATTAAAAATAAACAAAAATTTTTATATGGGCCTATCTATATACATATATCAAAAACCCACATAGAGTAAAAGATTGCTGTATCTCCATTCAAAGTATTGCCCCGATCTGATTTCTACTGCAGGCTTTCACAATATAATATTGCATAAGTTTCTTTAAAATGAGAAGGTAAAGGAAGGACAAAGACTGAGAGGTACAGAAATGGGGTACCAAAACTTCCAGTTAGTCAGTTTGCTTTTTCTTCCCTCCCACTGGTATCGCCTAAATGCTTTTCCCATTTCATAGTAAGAATAAAGAATGACAGTCATTCTTATAAAGAGTCTTGAGACAACTGGACCAAGAGCAAAAAAGAAGTTAGACCTCCCCACCTTTAATATCCTATATAAAAATTAATTCAATGGATCAAAGACCTAAATCTAAGAGCTAACACTATAAAACTCTTAGAATAACAGAGGCATTAATTTTGGTGACCCTGGATCAGGCAATGGTTTCTTAGATATAATACCAAAATCTCAAGAAACCAAAGAAAAACAAATAAATTGGATGTCATTAACATGAAAAGCTTCTTCGCTTCAAAGTGCATCACCAAAAAAGTGAAAAGACAAAGCACGGAAGGCAAGGGTGTGTCGCATGTTATATATCTGCTACACGCCCAGTGCTGAGAGCACATGAACAACCATTACAGCTCAACAGTTAAGAAACAAAGTGAAAACAGACCAAGGATCTGAACAGACAGTCTCCAAAGAAGATCACAAAATGGCTAACACGCAAATAAAAAGATGATCAGCATCACTAGTCATTAGGGAAATGCAGACCAAAATCACAATGAGATACCATTTCATACCCATTAGGATGGTTATAATCAAGAAGACAAACAATAACAAGTTTTGGCAAGGATGAAGAGAAATTGGATCACTCACACACTGCTGGTAGAAATGTAAAATGATGCAGCCACTTTAGAAAACACTTTGGCAAGTCCTCAGAAAGTTATACATAGTGCTGCCACGTAACTCAGCCATTTCACCCCTGGGTATAGACCCAAGAGAAATGAAAACATTGTGTACAAAAACTTGTACACAGATATTCATAGCAGCAATATTCAGAATAGTGAAAAAGTGGAAACAGCTCCCAAACCCATCAACTGATAAATATGGTATAATGGAATATTACTCCTTTATGGTGGTGGTTTAGTCGCTATGTCGTGTTCGACTCTTGTGACCCCATGGGCTGTGTAGTCCACTAGGCTCCTCTGTCCACAGGATTTTCCAGACAAGAATACTGGAGTGGGTTGCCATTTCCTTCTCCAGGGGATCTTCCCTACCCAGGGATCAAACCCAGGTCTCTTGCATTGGCAGGCAGATTCTTCATCAACTGAACTACCAGGCAAGTGTCCTCTTATTCAGCTATAAAGAGGAATAAAGAACTGAGAATTGCTATGACAAGGATGAATCTTGGAAACATGCTAACTAAAAGAAGCGAGACCACATATTGTATGATTTCATTTATATGAAATGTTCAAAGTAAGCAAATCCATAGAGATAAAATCAATACTGGTTGCCAGAGACTGGGGGAGACAGGCAGAGGTGAGAAAGCAACTGCTGCTGGGTACAAGCGTCTTTTATAGGTGATGAAAATGTGCTGGAATTAGTTATTGGTAATGGTTGCACTGCCCTCTGAATATAACAACAGCCACTGAATTATACACTTTGAAGGAGTGTCAATTTTATGATAAAACTGCATCTCAATTAAAGAAAAAAAAAGAATGATAGCCAAATAAAAAGTGGCACAAGCAAGGAATGAAGCAAGTATTCCCCTTTTCACCCAACATTTTCTGCATGCTTACTATGTTTCAGACCTATGCTGGTTGCTAGGAACCGAAAGGTGAGTAAAACAAAGTCTCTACACTCTCCAGGCCCATTCTCCTTAGCCAACAAATGTGGTATTTCTCGATGGTAAAACAGCTTTGAAAATGCAAAAACAACAAAGATAAGCTGCAGGCAGTTCAAAAGAATGCAGATACTTACACTATAAACTCTTCTAAATTAGCCAGAATGCTTTTTTAAGAGTTTCACTAAATATGGGGAGGCAGAAGAGACATGCTTCTAATATTGGTATTAACTCATTATTCCCCAATGCTGATGTCATTTTCCAAGAAATATTATTGAAATAGCTTCATTTATTTGAAATTGTTTTCCAAATAATGTTTTTGATAAATCTTCCTTGATCATATCACATATCATATCAGTAACATAAGAAAAGTATTACTTTCTCACTGACTCCTGGGTTCTCTATTCTTGACATTAAAAACTTCATGATAAAAACAAATATACCAAGGAAAAAGATGCTTTTTAATACTTTACTACAGTATCCATATGAAAGATTGTTTTACTATAAGAGAATAGGTAACAAGAGAATTCTCTAAACTAAGCAATCAATTCTTTTAGGCTCTTATCCCAGATTTTTATGAATCAGAGAAAATCTGATATCCTGATATGAAAGCCTCATTTCCATAGAACAACAGCTCACAAAAATCAAAGAATCAAATTTAGACAGGAAACTATGTTGAATAGTCCTTTAAATAGTACAGAAAAGGGGCACGTTCTACCTAATCCAAGACATTAGACACTTCTGATACTTGTAATACACTATTTATATTAAATTCTCAAAAGATAAAACTAAAGTCTATATTAAAATTACCTTATCTTTGGCTTCAGGCAGTGTGATTTCTCTAGGTTCTAAAATTGATATTTCTCGAAAAGGTGGAACACATCTGACTATATCTGGTACATAGTGTGTGTGAAACAATGGTGACATTGAGTATCTTCTTTCATCTGATAAAGGCACTATGTGGTTAACTATAGTTGGCTCTTGGTGGGGTGAATGAAAACGCTGCCGTTTACCATCAAGAGGAAGATTCTTTTCATCGCTTAATCTCCTGAAAACAAGCAACATACCTTAGTGATTAAAGATATAACTTTCTGATAACAAATAGAAAACGATTTAAAATATAGAAATAATAGATGAAAATACTGACTTTTTCAGCAAGGCCATGTTATTAGCTCTAAATGAACTGCAAAATATTCATTGTCAGTATAAGAGACACCTTTAGAAAAAATAAATAATAATGCATATTTTTAAAAAAACAAACATACATCAAGGTTAGTCTCTTGCATTTGAACCACCACAATATTTCATATCAGCAACAAAAACTTGGTAGGAAAAAATCTCTATTTATAGAATCACTAACAATAAAAGATCCAAACTCTAACATAAGGAGGATAAGATTAAGTAAACTGAGTGCTGTACATAAAAAAGGGATCTTGGGAGTCCACCTATGTTCTGGTGTATCAGCAGGAAAGACCAAATTAAGAGTTTTTTTTTTTAACTATAAAAATACTAGATAACTACCTCCAACTAATAAAAATAAATGAAAAAAAAAGAAAAAAAAACACTAGATAACTAGTCTGAAAATGAACTATACTTATATATTTATATATAACAGTATCATACACAATATAACAGTCTTGTATTCGTGTTAAATTCTTGGTCATGATTGATGTATTTTTAGTTATACAAGAGAATATCTTTGTCCTTGGACAAATGCACTGATGTGTTTTGGGATAAAGTGAAACCATATCACCAACTTTTTTTCACATGGTTCAGAAAAAAGTGGGGGTAGGGAAGGAAAGAGGAAGAATAAAACAAATTTAGCAAAACTGATGAATCTAGGAAAATTACATACAGGTGCTCACTGTACTATTTTTCAAATTCTTCTGGAACCTTAAAAATATTCAAAATAAAAAAGAGAAAACAATTTTAAAGTAATTATTTGTTGGGAAAAATGGTATTTACTTAATTGATACATTACTAAGTTGTTTAAACCACAGGAAATTATCCAATCCTTTTGTTGAACTCTAAAATTTTATGAGTCATAGCCACCTGAAGGTTTTCATTTTAATATTCTTTGGGGATTACATCAATTACTCTCTCTTTGAAAGACCAACAAAATAACTAGAATTCCTACTCACAGTAAAGGTATAAAAGTGCTAAAAACATAAGTATACATTTAATATTTTTAAACAAAATTCAGAGCTTTACACAATGAATATTTCTATTGAGAATGTCAATGTTAGGTTTAAATATATATATATAATTATGAACTAATGGAATTTATTTTCACTCAAGATTCACAAATGGGTCTATCAAGACAATTTCTAAAACACAAAAATTTAAATGAAGTCAATATTTTAAGCATCATTATACAGTTTTCCACCCAATTCATTACCTCTGTGTGCTTCAACTTTCTCAACAGAAAAGGGGTAACAGTACTCACCTCACAAATTGTTGTGAAACTTAGTCAAACCATTATTTGCAAAGTCCTTAGAACAATGCCTACTCTACACAGTGAAGGACTGATGCTGAAGCTGAAACTCCAATACTCTGGCCACCTGATGTGAAGAATTGACTCATTGGAAAAGACCCTGATGCTGGGAAAGATTGAAGGCGGGAGGAGAAGGGGATGACAGAGGATGAGATGGTTGGACGGCATCACCAACGCGATGGACATGAATTTGAGCAGGCTCAGCGATTTGGTGATGGACAGGGAAGCCTGGCGTGCTGCAGTCCATGGGGTCACAAAGAGTTGGACACAAGTGAGCGAATGAACTCAGTGAACACAGTGAAAGGGAAAGTGTTAGTTGCTCAGTTGTGTTTGACTCTTTGCAACCTCTAGACTGTAGCTCTCCAGGCTCCTCTGTTCATGGAAATCTCCAAGAAGAATACTGGAGTGGGCTGCCATTCCCTTCTCCAGGGGATCTTCCCGACCCAGAGGTGGAACCCAAGCCTCCTGCACTGCAGGCGGCCTCCTTACCAACTGAGCCACCAAGGAAGCTAAAAAGTGAAAGTTGCTCACTCGTGTCCAACTCTCCGCGACTGTCTAGTGCATGGGGTGCTCCAGGCCAGAATATGTCAGTGGGTGGCCTTTCCCTTCTCCAGGGCATCTTCCCAACCCAGGGATCAAACCCAGGTCTCTCGCATTGCAGGCAGATTCTTTACCAATTTAGCTATCAGGGTAAAGAATAAAATAGACAGCCAGTGGGAATTTGCTCTGTGATGTAGGGAGCTCACCCATTTGTATGCCGATTGCCAATTCGTGTTGATGTATGGCCGAAACTAACACAAAAGTGAAGTGAAAGTCGCTCAGTCATGTCCGACTCTTTGCGACCCCATGGAAAGTCCATGGAATTCTCCAGGCCAGAATACTGGAATGGGTAGCCTTTCCCTTCTCCAGGGGATTTTCCCAACCCAGGGATCAAACCCAGGTCATCCGCATGGCAAGCGGCTTCTTTACCTGCTGAATCACAAAGGAAGCCCAAGAATACTGGAGTGGGTAGGCTATCCCTGCTCCAGAGGATCTTCCAGAACCAGGAATGGAACCGGGGTCTCCTGCATTGCAGGCGGATTCTTTACCAACTGAGTTATGAGCGAAGGCCATAGTGGGTGAATAGTAATTCTTATCTAGTGTTATTTCTAATTGTACATAAAAGTTATGGAATGTTTATACAGGCTTTAAAGAGCAGTATCTTTCAAGTATTGCCAAGTCTTATTTTAATAATCACCCCTAAAGTTCTATCAAAATTACCCTGTGATACATCAATTTCTTTTAATCAAATTGGTTCAAGCAAATTGATTCCTGACTTCTCTATAGAAAGCTTTATGTCATATAGAAACTTTCACTATAATAATATTTATTGTGGAACCTGACCTATGTAAGATAAATTAAACATTAAACTTTAATAGAAACAAAGAGTTGTAAGCTAAATTATGTCCTTGAAATTCACATTTAAGTCTTAACCCCTAGTACGTCAAAATGTGACTCTATTTGGACCCAGGGCCTTTAAAGAAGTAATTAAATTAAAATGGAGTTATTAATCCAATATAACTAGTATCCTCAGAAGAATAATTAGGACACAGAAAACAGAGAAGGATGACCATATTAGGAAAGAAGGCAGCCATCTATAAGCTAAAGAGGGAGGCCTCAGGGGAAATCAAACCTGCTAACACCCTGATCTCAGACTTCTAGCCCCCTGAATTTAAAGAAAATTAATCTGTTATTTTAGTCACCCACTCTGTTCTACTGTTATGGCAGCCATAGCAAATACACAGAAACCTATCTGCTCTAGTTAAAAATTTCAATTAAAAGTAGTTATCTGAAGATAGTTACCCTTAAAACTTTTTAAATACTTAGAAGTTTTAAAATTCTGTTACAGGACAGACTGCACAGACCCCAGAAAACAAAATGTAGGTTAGTGTCCATTTAACTTAATACAAGATACATTGTTAAACAGTTCCCAAAACTGCGAATTTTTCTTTTAAAATAAATAAGAAATACTTACTTCCTTCCTCGGAATAACGGGGAAGCTGAGGTCTGTACTGGACTGACATTCGCATACGTCAACTGCTGTAGTGACACAGCTCTAGACAAGCTACCGAAAACAAAGAAAGAACATGATGACATCTCTAACTCCAAATGTTTCATATAGAAAGGATCTGTGTCAAGTAAAAACTGAAACTTACAAATGATATGGGCTAAAATAACACTGCACTTACTCTGCATTGTGAAAGCTGAATTGTGCATCTATAAGTTGCTGGTGTGAATAAAGACTTGGTGACAGGGCGAAGAAGTTATTATGTTGTTGATGGTTTGGAGTGAAAGGCGGGCGACCCAAAATTGAGTTTGGGAACATGCTCTTGTTCACTAAAAGAGAACATGTATTCTTCTACCTAGAATAGTTTTAAAGACAAATTATTATTAAGACAGTGAACTTTTTGATAACCAGTATCTACTATTTAATAAAGTTACCAAGTTACAAATTTCATTTACAAATTTATTTTCTCAAATAGATCTCTTAAGTCACAAAATACATAACAAAATACTTACTAATGATGAATTTTAAATCTAGATTAACCATATTATTCAAATGACACTAAAATCTATGTAAATTTCTAATTTTATGACAAATTACTCTAATAAATTTATCAACAACTCTCCTATAAATCAAGTTAACACCATTATACTTTGATAATAAACAAATCATCCAAGAGATGTATTTAATGAAATCTACAATTTCTTACATTGATTCCCATTTTAACTTATTCAAAAGTATAAGCCTTCATATGACAACCCAAGTCCCAGGATTTAGAGCTTACAGATCTGATCAAACAAGGGATGGAATTTTATTACCTAATAACTATTTATAAAGTTCTGAGAGTACCCCTCAAATTCTAAACAACTTATGAAAACAACTACTAATAAAAGAGTTTGTTCCGCAGGAATGGGGAAAACCTATGTAAAAAACAATCAGAATCGTTCACTGCCCCAGCCAGGAGACTAGATAGTTATTCTTTGCAATGACTGACCCCAAAAGGCTGTAAATTCACAGAGAAGAGTGGGATAAAAAAACAAACTGAAAACAAATACTAAGTAAAGTCTACAAAGTAAAAATAGCATTCCCAGCTTCTATTCCCAATTCAGGCAATTAAAAAATTCATCTATGAAATAATGGAAAGAGAAATCATATAATATAGTAACAAAAGAAGATGTAGCATAGAAGCAGTTGCTCACCAAGAAAGTGTTAAGCTTGCTAGAAACCTACAATGACGTCTACTACGGAACTGCCTACCTATGTACACAGAAGCTTCCAATTTAGATTTCTAGAAAAATGACATTCATGGATCATCAGAAGTTAAAAATTTTTTAAAGGCTTAGTAATAAATAGAAACAACACTTGGAACAAATGAAAGATGAGGGGAAAAAAGCTCATTAATTTCATAATTAATGAAAAACACCACTGTATATGTAAAACAAGAATGTGTTGTTAAAAGCAGAAAGGGCTCTTGGAAAGTACAAAATTAAAAGCAGAAATATCCAACAGAAAGCTAAAAGAACACTGAGGAATGAACAAAAAAGAAAAACTGTTAAGGGCAGACAGTAGGCAAGACAGTAAGAGAAAAAGTATAAGTGAACCAAAGCAGGTGGTCCAAAATCCAATACAACTTAAGTTCCAGAAAGAACAGAAAACAGAGAAAAGGAAATTACCAAGTAAATAAAACAAGAACATGTTCAGAACTGAAGAACACCAAGCCTTAGGCTGAAAGGATCCAGTGAGTAAAAAGCACAAAATGCACACACACACAGGTCTATATACACACATATATAAATGCATATTACAGTGAAATTTCAGAATACCAGGTAAAAGAAGCTTCTTAGTATTACAGAGAAAGAAAATGTTATAAACAAAGGGATGGGGTGAAAAAGTAACAAGGTCCTACCGTAAAGCACAGGGCGGGAACTATATTCAATATTCTGAGATAAATCATAATGTAAAAGAATGTAAAAAAGAGAATGTATATATATAACAATAACTTTGCTGTATAGCAGAAATTAACACAACAGTCTAAGTCAACTATACAATTTAAAAAAAAAGGAAGAAACACACAAAGGGATGGTAATCAAAATGGCTTTGGACCACTCAACAGCAACAGTGGAAACAAGACAAAGAAGTGAATGCCTTCAAGGTTTCTGTAGGAAATGTTTTCAAGCTATAATTCTATACCCAGTTATGTTACCAGTGCAAAAGGAGAATAAAAACCTTTTCAAGACATGTAAGGTATTGAAAAAAGTAAAAGAAAATCTGGGATCTAGGAAAAGGGAGTTCTCACACAGGTCTGAGACAGTAAATTCCACAGGATGGTGGTGAAGGGAAGCTAAACAGCTTAAAATAGAATATGTAAATAGAGGGCTACAAGAAGAATCCTAGGTGGGAAAAAAATGAACTGGTAGATTACCTTATATATTTGACCAGAGAGGAGTCTGGCCAACAGAGCAGAAAAAATTAATTGTAGGAACAGAAAAGTAGCAAGTTGGGGCTTCCTGGTGGCTCAGTGGTTAAGAATCCACTTTGCAATCAATGCAAGGGACATCAGTTCAATCCCTGGCCCTGGAAGATCCCACATGTCTCGGAGCGACTAAGCCCATGCGCCACAATTACTGAGCCTACCCACGGTAACTTCTGAAGCCAGTGCACTTAGAGCCGTGCTCTGCAATGAGAAGCCACTGCAATGAGAAGCCCGCATACAAAAATAAAGAGCAGCTCCCACTCTCAGTGACCAGAAAAAGCCTGTGCACAGCATTGAAGACCTACCACAGTCAATAAACAAACAAAGAAAGCCTTACAAAGAAATGCAAGAAGTTAAAAATAAATTACTAAAACTACAGACAAAACACACTCAAAAGGTCAGATAAAAAGAAAATACAGTCAGTTACCTACTTAGTTCTTACAATAACATCAACATTTAACATATATTGATTTAACTGTAACATGTATGCATGTGAAGTTGCTTCAGTCGTGTCCAACTCTTTGAGACCCTACAGACTGCAGCCCACCAGGCTCCGCTGTCCATGCAATTCTTCAGGCAAGAATACTGAAGTGGGTTGCCATGCCCTCCTCCAAGGGATCTTCCAAACCCAGGAATCGAACCCACATCTCTTATATAAGTCTCCTGCATTGGCAGGCAGGTTCTTTACCACTAGTACCACCTGAGAAGCCCAAAATTATAATATATTTATATACTACTTACTACATTGTATTTATTTATAATTACATACAGTATACTATATTTTACATATTATTTACATGTTTATATACATCACAATTTATGATGAGAAAGGGTACATTAAAGTGCTAAATTCTCATTGTCAATCTAAAAAACAAGTTATAAAAGTTGTGGTTTTTTTTTTTAGAACAACAGAGGAAGATAATATACACACTGCTAAAAGAAATAGTAATTGCCTCTGGGGATTGAGACCAAATGGCTTGAAAAACTAGAATAGGAGACAAGGAGGGGGCGGGGATCTTGGAAGAAACAAGTAAACCACTCACAGAAACTTTATTAGTTTTCCAATTCTGAAAGATTAAAATTTCCTAGGCTGGCCACAGAGAGTGAGACTTACCAGTTCAAAGTTCATACGAGATTGTGGACAAGAGCTACCATCAGATTCCATCCCAGCTGCCTGACTACCATGCACCAGACACAAGGTGCCACCTCCAGAAAACAAGAGTTTGTCAGCTTTCTTCAGAAGGCCTTTTTCTAGCTATAGGAAATTGATTTTTTTTAATTCCTATCATGTTTGCTAAACTATATTCTGATGTTTGCTGCTGCTGCTAAGTCGCTTCAGTAGTGTCTAACTCTGTGCAACCCCATAGACGGCAGCCCACCAGGCTCCTCTGTCCCAGGGATTGTCCAGGCAAGAACACTGGAGTGGGCTGCCATTTCCTTCTCCAGTGCATGAAAGTGAAAAGTGAAAGTGAAGTCGCTCAGTCATGTCCAACTCTGTGACCCCATGGACTGCAGCCTACCAGGCTCCTCCGTCACTGGGATTTTCCAGGGAAGAGTACTGGAGTGGGTTTTCATTTCCTTCTCCAGCCTGATGTTTGCTGCTCAGAGACAATATCTTGAGCCACGCAGGATTTCACAGCATTCTTTATTAAAAGTACTCTCAATGTAACAACAGAACGCCAGATCCAAGGCTGCCACTAAAGCCGCCTTCTCCCTTTACGTGGGCTTACAGTCTTTCTTGGCCTCTTCTCTGATCCAACTTACCAGAAAACAATTACCATCTCATAGGATTCATGAGAAAATGACATTAACTACAATTCATTATAAAGAACTGTGCTTGATTTTACTGTAATAGACACACAATATGGATGTGATCAAACAAGAGAAGGAATTTGTGTTCAGAAAAACTAGAATTAAAATACTCTATATTCAGGTTTATTTAAACCAGTTCATAGGTACAACTCCAGACATTTTGTTTATATCTATGTTTGTATTTTTCTTCATGCTTGAGACCCAAAATGACATAACAGCCCAGTTTATGGGCTTACTTCTATCCTATTATATGGTCAGATTCATACTACAGAATAAGTCAAAAGATGTCTTGTGGCCGAGAAGTACTCTTCAAAGCTAATGACCAAATTATCCACAGCTTAAAAGCTGAGAATGATTCCATACTTAAAAACTTACTTTATAGCAGTTATCTAAATCAGTGTATCCTAAATTCCAGATAAGCATTAAAGGTTTTGGAGCACCACCAAAGCAAAGAATCTATCAGTTCTCCTCAGGATGAATTTTGGCCTTCAAGTCCAGCTCTTATTTAGGCCAACCTTGCAAGTGGGGAGAATCATTCCTAGGGAATTTAACCAACAATATTCAATAGTCTCCAATAATCATCCTGTAATCTCCTGCATAATCTAGAGATAAGGAAGTAAACCAAAAGCCCATGGATTTCTATTCCTTTCTACTATTTCTCTTAATATTAACAGACACGCAAAGATAGTAATATTAAGGGACACACCAAGAGTCATCTCTGACTCTTTGCAGCCCACCCCAAGGAATGTAGCCAGCCAGGCTCCTCTGTCCATGGGATTCTCCAGGCAAGAGTACTGGAGTGGATTGCCATTCCTTTCTCTAGGGGATCTTCCCAACCCAGGGATTGAACCTGGGTCTCCTGCATTGCAGGCAGATTCTTTCCCACCTGAGCCACAAGGAACCCCACTCCCTTAATACATTCCAACACTAATTCTGATGAAGATAAAAATGACACCAAAATAATAACCCATTATAAACAACATGGGGCTTCCCTGGTGGCTTAGATGGTAAAGTGTCTGCCTGCAATGCAGGAGAC